TTTTTTTTTTTTTTTGGATACTTCTGGTAGGAATTTATGTATATGAGCAGTTAACATTTAAAACCTTATAATAACCAATTGAAACATGTCTTGAGCATGGTCTCATTTTCTTTTAAAATAATTGTTGTGTTCTTTTTTTTTTCCCCCTTTTTTAATGATATTGCAGATTGGCATCCAGGATAAGCCCGCTGATTTGAAAATAAGAACTACTAATCTCGTTCTTGTTAATTTACTTAAGGATCAGGTTTGTTAAGGTCAATGACTCCTTAACGATTATTTTGGCAGCACTGTGGGCAGTCTCTCAAAGCTTTGCACAGATACATTTTTATATTCAAGATCTCCACGTAAATACGTTTAGTTTCAAAAAGTTGGAAGCTCTTGCATATTGTTGTTGAACATGTACTTAAACTAAAGATGTAGGATCAAATAGCTATTACTTTGAGTACAATCTTATTTGCTCAACCTCCTTAATTCACCATGACAGCCTCCCACGTGCCATGCATTAAAGCCAGTTGACGGATACTACCAACATCTTCAATCAGCTAAAAGTCTCTCCCTCTCCCCCAACTAGCCTCATTGTGTTTGCACCCATGATCATGCTTTGATACCAATCAGAGGTTCAATACTTATCACTAGGTCAAAAGCTAAAACTATTGGTCAAGATGCAATTCTATTTCCTTAGCATATCGGAGAGCAAATATTGCGATGGTTCGAACACAAATAGAGTTGATAGATTTTTCTAATCTCCAGTATGCTAACATAGGACATCCTTCTCAAGATTAACTACTACAAATGCTAGTGACATATTGGGTCAAAAAACTACCTTGATTTATGTACTTTTGACTTGGAAGTCTTTGAATCAAATACTAAATGACAATTTCTATCTATATATTTCATCAATAAACTAGAAAAGGAGAGTTCATCGTATTTCATTTTTTCTGATTTCCCAATGACATGACCATCATATAGGGCTAAGTGACAGTCATTTAACTTCCCATTCTTTTTCTCTATAGGTCAAAATGTGTTATATGCCAAGACTTCCACGGCATAGAGAACTCATCTCTGACTTAGGTCCATTTCACGCTAGACTTTCAAGTGAAAGTTCAATTGCGGAAAGGAATCCTGTATATAGGTGCAACGAAGTTCAGGTTTTTTATGATCTCACACTGACAGACATATTGTTCTGCTTGAAAGTTCACTTGTTGAAAATCAAAATATTGGCTTCATGGGAGCATGGGAAAAGATTGCGTGCGTGTGTGTGTATGTATCTGTCACTGCTATATATAGGAAAATTGAAGTCTCGGATCCTGTTTTTTCCTTTATAGAAATATGTTGAAAGTTTATTCATGGCAACGTTAATTTGTCTAATTTTCACCTGTATTCCCAACTTGAGAAAAAATTGGAGTCATTAGCTGCATTCTCTATCTATAAAGCTTTATTTCTTGTTACTGTATGAGGAAATATGCAAACAGGCTTGACATCACTTTTTGATCAAAAACTTGAGGCTTAAGATTTTTTCCAGTAGTATATCCCGCTCCGTCTAGTTTTCTCCATTTGGGACTTCTTATTCCCATCACCCTTCAACCTAACCCTTTAATAGCATTGTGTTTAGTCCAAGCATTCCAATCTAGGAAATAATGTGTTTTTCAACGTATGATCAATACCATCACAAAATATTGATCTACCTTATTGTGTTTCTCATAACCAGTGGCAAGTGATGACTCATGTTTTTTAACAGGCTGAAGCTGCAACCCAGTTTTTGGATGTCATATGGAGATACATGGAGTCGCTTTGTTCAGATATGAGGTCACACACGATCACTAATGTACAGTCAGAGAGGGTAAGATAACTAAATTGTTTGTTATTATGTTCTTGGAAATTCTCAATTTGTGTAGTATAGGTAGTTGCTCCATGTTTCTCTGGCTCATAACGGGTCATTTGCATAGGTATCTTTGCTTCTTAAGGATAGCTTCATCGATTCTTTCCCTAGGAGGGACCGACCATTCATTAAGGTAACTACATTTGGGTTATTTTGCAGAAATTTTATAAAAAGTGAAATTACAGTCAGCATCCTGTAATGCCATGCTTACTTTATGATAAAAATTTAAATTGTTTGTGTTAATATATTTCTCGTTGGTGGATAAAGGTGGGTTTTCTGGAATTATGAAAGAGCTCCATCAAATATTCACTATCATGTAGTCAATGTAGCATTATTAATGAAAGGAGAATTTTGTAAACCCTAGCGGTTAGCAGCCATATGCATGTGTTTTTTAACTTGACTGTGGCTGGACCTCAGTCCTGACATATTTAAGCAGTTAATAATCAATCATTCTCGTAATCCTTTGTTTTTTGGATTCGACAGCCGCGGCCAGTGCTAACCATAGCTTTTGTTTACCATGTATCCTTGACTTTGCAGCAATTGGTGGACACACAGCTTTTCAGTGTTCTATCAGACTCACGTCTATCAAGCTTCGAGAATGACTCGTATTTCTCCGATGCTTCAATTTAGCATCAGTGCGTCACAGGTTGCAATAGAAGACCTGTTGGTCATACTTGTTCAGTTGTTCCCCACAAGAATGTGATTCTTTTATGGTGGTTAACATCTCCAGGAGGAATCGTCAATTTAACTACCCAATGTTCAGATCGACAAAATTTTGTGGGCTTTAGGTTACGTGATACCGGTTGATCTTAATTAATTGCTTCGATCAGGTCACTAGTTTCGTTATTTATTAGGATATATTAATGGTCTTGGCAGCAAAAGATGTGAATCATGTGACTGCAAATGTCGATTCTTCTCCTAAAGTATTTGTACCATTAGCATCTAATTGTCTGCTTTTAGTATTGTTACCTCTGTACATTTTGACGACAGAAGCTGTCGTATTCTTGTTTTTTTTCTGGACCTCTCCTCTTCCCTTCTAATCCTTTTTCTTCCTCTTCTTAACCGTTAGATTAACATATTTTAATGGTTTAAATTTTAACTTTTTTATAACTATTTATAAAAAAATTAAAAACATTTAGTCTACTTGCAAATCATTAGAATTAAATTTTAATATAGTTGCAATTTATTATTTATTTATTTTTATAATTTAATTTTAATAATATTTTTAAAAAGATTTAAATCTAAACTGTTAAAATAGAATATACAACAGTTAAAAAGAAAGAGAATAAAAGAGAATGGAAAGAAAAAAGAGAAGTTACGAACTGGTTTTTTCTCATTATGATCTCACCATTGCATATCGTCAAATAATGATGTCTTGAAGGTCCCAACAAAAAAAAAAAAAAGTCCTGACTCAGATGTCATACTATTATAAGAGACGTCAAATATGATGCCACCTTATCTCCCACGTTATTGATCATGCTCTAGTGCCCAGAGAATATAGGCATCATGACCCAATTATTTCTCTTCCTCGTCAGACTCTGAAGTTTGAAAAAGGCTCAGGCCGGGCCTTGCTGCGACGTCAGCATATTTCAGGGTAGCTTCTCTCGGATCTTCCTCCATTCACGTCTCCTTTCATGACCCCTTGCTGCAACAGATACGTATAAGATGTAAATATAGTGTAATTCCAAAGCAAGAACGCTGATGAGTTGACAAAATGCTTACTGAAGTGCAATACCTTCAGAGATATTGAGTCAGCAAGCTTCCTTGACTTGCACCATCTCGCCTACCAAAACTGGGCCCTGTTATGGGAAGTTCAGGCTTATGGGACTTCAATGAATCCTTCAGTATTTTCTGTCGCTGACGTTTATGGCTGGACTTATCTCTAAATAGTTGTAAGGCATGAGGATTGTGAGCAACCAGTTTTGCCTCAAAATCATCAATGGATATCTTCCACAAACAAGAGCTCCTCTCTCACTGATGGTTGGGTCATATAGTGTGAGTTCCTCCTTGGCCTTTTGTTACCAACCGTTGCAAAGGTCTTATATAGTTAAGGGTGTTCATGAAGCCCAGTTGCCCGTAATGCCCGCTCAAGCTCACAAAAAAATGCTCAGCCTGCCTAAAAGAAATGGCCCAAAAGAACTATTGGGCATGTTGGGCGGGCAAATTATTGGGCAGGGTTGGGCATTGAACATGGTATGCTACCCTGCCCATTTGGCCCTGCCAACAATAATATATATAATTTTATTTACATATATTTTATTTGCTTCATATTTATTTCCTAAATCAAACATATTGTTGCATCAATATTCAGTATTCATTATACTTATTTATTTTTGAATGATTTTAAGAGTTAGAACCTAGAAAAACAATTAAGTTTAATAAAATATACAAACAAATTTTTTTTTGTCATAGTCCACTCCTCCTAGCTACTACAAAAAGTAGTTTCATAGTATATTAATTATTATAAACAAAATTAAGACCAAGTTACCATTTTATATAAAGTTACATTAGATTATTTAAAGGGATATAAATAATTAGTTAATTAATGTAGTATATTGACTTGTTGGGCATGAAAGCCTGTCCTGCCCAGCCCGAACTTAATAAGGCTTTTTATGGGCAAGCTGGGCAACGGGCTACATTTTCCAGCCCGTTCATTCTTTGGGCTGGGCATTGGGCAAAGGTCCAGCCCTACCATGTGCAGCCCTAAATATAGTTTCAAACAGGTTTTGTAATCATAAGCAACCATGTTGTCTGGTGAACTCATCCTCGCCGCCGTCCTTGCCGTCGTTACCTCGCTGTCGCCGTAAGATGGAAGAGGAGGGGACTAGTCAGGAAGTGAAGGATGAGGCCACGTCGTAAATTGACAAAATGTCTTGGGGATAATGGTCCTAATATTTCACCTCCATATATGGAAGCCCATCTCAGTTCCACGGTCCTCATATGAGCCCAATTTTGCACTTCCCATGCCCAATATTTATGTTGGGCTTTCTCTTATGGGCTACCCCACAACTTGTTAGGGCCCAATTCCAGCTTAATATTTAATCCGTGATCCTCAGCTTAAATTTTTTTGCTTCTACTGTTGACATTGATGACGAATTGACGATGAGTAAGATCAGTTCCCCCCCCCCTCAAAGGGCAGCTTGTATACCAAGAAAAGGGGTAAGTTAGAAAGGTCCAGGCCATTACATTCGTGATATTTATACTTTATTTCATAGTATATTTTCTGTGTTTACATTCTCTTTTGTTTTTGTCCCCAAACTAATTAATCAATATCAATAAAAGTATGAAATATATGTGATTTAGTGATTTACAAGAAGTGACACTATTTCACAGACCATATCAAACAGTACGACTCATATAGCATAAAACAAAAACAAAGACTAATGACACTATATGTGTTTTGTAGACAGTATAATTGAAATGGCGCTGCTTGCAAATTAAATCAAAGTGGACAAAAGGTTTTTGAATGTCCATTTTCATCATAGATTTCTCTCTTTTGCGCTATGATTGATTAGACATGCATTTTCAGCAAATAAAGGCCAGCGAAAAAGACAGATTTTACGTTGACGCCATTAATTTACCTGGATCCAAACGTAGCAAATTAAAGAATCGTTTGGTGGTAGAGGGTGGTTTGGATGGGGCCAAAAAGGAAAGGACAGAGTGATGAAAACGTGGGAAAAACATAGAAGAAGAAGAAAAATGACGATAGGAGTGTTAGTGGGGTATTGGGTTCCAGTTAAGTTGTCCCCATTTAAGAAAAGTCACATATAATAGCAGCCACAATAAATGAAAATGAAGAAAGGAAATGACAACAATGTTGCTGACAACACGAAGCTGGGATCGATCGTATATATATTCTTAGAATCTTGTTACTATGTGTGTACATATATACTGATTCATCAAATTTTGAGAAGGGAAAGGATCGAGGACCACCACGAGAAAGAGAGTTGCGTGATGCACTTGATGAGTTAATGAATCTTATATATAGCTATACGTTTTATATAAGTGAGCATAAGTACAATTCATGATTCTTTGATCGATAAACACAGGAAACCCCAAATAAAATAATGCAAAGTGTGGCCAAAAAGCATGCACGCACGCACAAAAGTAGCATTTTGTCTACGAAGAATATGATTCTAAGAATTCTGCCAAATGGAACAGTAATAAGAAAGTATTCTCTGTCTTGTGTGTGTGTGTGTGTGTGTGATGTGTCGGTGACAATGCATGGAATTGGCAACAAAAACTGAGAGTAGATTCTGTGTCCATGCATGCATATGCGTGCATGGAGGGCACCAAAACCAGGATATATCTTATAATGAAAGCGTCAATCTGTGAATATTTAAATATCATCATCAATTGCTACGTATGCAATATATATATATATATATTTAACACCATTATGGCAGCGCTGCTTGCACAGTCGCACGTAGATAAGAAAATGGAAAGAGATGGGTGTGGTGAGTGTTAAAAGTTGACGAGCCACGGCAAAAGTACCCTCTCATACGTATCCTCTTTTTGGATTTTCTTGGTTGTCTGTTCGATGCTGGAGGAATATATATATTGGAGTTGGAGTAGAGAAGAAGATAGAAGAAGAAATATGAAGCAGAAACAAAGAATCCGTAAATGGAATTTTGTCTGCATGTAGTTTGGAGCATATGGGCGAAAATAGAGATGCCCCTCAGTAGTGGAAGTGAACAGAAGCCTCAAAGCCATCACCTTTATTTTCTGTGTTGCTTTTACACACGTACACCCTGCATTCCATAGGAGTAATGCCAGCATCTGATCTGGTTCTGGATGAACCAATAGATTTGCAACGCAGTAAACATCAAAAGGGTTTTTTTTCATAAGTAGGTTGATCCTGCTCTTAACTTTATGCCGTTAATATGTGATCTATCCTTTTTTTTGAGTAGGATGGTATCGCTGCCTCAGGGTATTCCAGCACAACCGGTCAGACTAATCCCAGATGCACTCGCAGGTATCGAACCCATGACATGGTAGGGAAGGCGCCTTGCGTTCCCGTTTGCGACCAATCACACCCGACCTTTTGCAGGCTGTGATTATCCCTTTTAATTATGCAGCAGGATGTGCATGGTGATCTGTATATTTGCTGGGGATGGGCTGGGGCACATTTATATTGTTGCCTTATTATTTGGATTCTTGTAACTGAGAGCCAGCCGTACGTACAGCTTTTAACCTAAATATCAAAGGAGGACCATCATTGCTGGTTCCGTGCACGCTCATGGGTAATCATGACTGCTCATTTGTCTCTTTGTGCGTGCAGGCTTTGAACTTTTCAAGTTTGAATAGTTTGCTTCATTTAATGACCTTTATCCAGAATCTTCTGTCCTTCTCCTTCTCCTTCTTCTTCGTTGTTTCACCTCCATGGATCTGCCACTTGGGTCTGATTCGTCATTAATTCACTTGGTGCATATATGGCTTTGGCTTTGTGTAAATAAATGTTTCTGTTGCTTCCAATTAAAAACCTCCCACTCTCACTTAGTTATTCCCCCTGATGCAATGCCTGCTTCGGATTTTATACTTTGGACCCCTCCATCTTTGGAAGTTTCCTCCTCCAGAACTGTAATAACTTCTGAGAGAATGATCCGTGAAGAGCTTGACAGTAAAAATTAATGTAAAATCAAGAGCTTTAAAATTATAAATCTTAAGGGTTCTTCTCATTTTATATTAATTCTCACGCAAAGCTCTTGCCTACCAAATGTCAATTATCATGATTGGCAAAAAGAGAGGGGCAGTCTGGTAAAGACGCAACATTGTGTAATTCTATTCCGCTAGTACATATGA